AGACTGTTGAGGGTTCAGCCTCCTGATGAGTCGGTGAAACTCCGACGAAACAGTTTGTCACAGCCCCTCGTTTGTTGTCCTCTTCTCTCTCTCTGCCTACGGTTTACCGGGCAGTTCTGTTTGTGACGATATATATATATATATATTGCAATGACTCCGGACTGTAACCCATTAGCAACAAATAGGGGCCTCAAGGTCGTCTCTAACACAGACTCGTAGCGTTGCCTTGGGATCCTGGTGTCATTCTCGAAATGCACCTTAGCCCATAATAACTCTTATCGTAGAGGAAAGAGTCAGAAACTCCTGCTCCCACTGCTCCAGAAAGAAATTTGTCTCGATCTTCGGTAGGCCTATGGTCGCAAATGTCTCAATTCTTTCCACAGTCTGGTACATCCTCTCATTTAAACCACCAGTACCTACCGGTTGTTGAGGCCCGAACGTACATTTTGCCTGCGCGCCAAGGGCTGCCGAGCCTGGATGGGGTGGGAACGAATTAGGGGTGTATTGTTGACTGGCTCTGGTTCCGCCGTCGTTTTCACTCGTGCAGCACCCCGGGTTGTGGCCACAAGCACATTCGAGGACATCGTGTAGACAGCAGTCCTTTGGAAAAAAAAAAAAAAATGGAAGAGAGGACAAACGGCCGTTGCTAGTGTCTTCCTGGCGTTCCTGTGGTGGCAGGACTGCAATGCTCCCCGTTTCTCACGGGGAGCCACATCAGATACAGCAGACATTCAAGTTTTTTTGTTTTTTTGTTACGAGGAAAAAACAAGAAAGGAGCTGGCCTTCAGATTCATATGTAGCAGACCATAAAAACGGGAAGATACATTCCGTGAGAGTGCTGTTCCTCTTTTTTTTGTTTTTTTTGTTGTTGTTTTTTGTTCCCCCTTTCTTGGCACTTTCCCGTTCTGTGTCAGGCACTTGGATCCTCCCCGTTTCTCACGGGGGGCCACATAAGAGACAGCAGACGTTATTCCTTTTTTTCTTTTTACCAGCAAAAAACGAAGAAACGAAATCGGGTATGCTACATGCTGGCCTCCAGATTCATATGTAGCAGACCATAAAAACGGGAAGATACATTCTGTGAATGTGCTGTTCCTCTACAGCCCAACCGCATTTATCTTTTTGTTTTTAGTTACTTGACACTCTCCCCCGCTCGTTTCAGCATGTAGAAACACACGCACACTCAACCCGCCCTGTGTATATGTCGAATTTCTTGGGCCCACCAGCTTGGACTGCCATCCCTGTACCGAGCCTACCCCGAACCCCGAAAGTCGCGGCGCGTTAACGGCCGCGACTTTTTTTTTAAAAGCTGGCCGAGGTACTGGTGGTTTAAAGAAGCGTCACAATTTACACCACAACTAATCCACCAACTCCTTTCTAGATTTATTTGGAAGGAAGACTCTGACGCCACATGCATAAGCAAGCTAGCTTGGTGGAAGATCGTGGAGAAAAAGAAAGGCAGTGGTGTAGGCGTCATCGACCCAGTGTCCCAGAACAGATCTCTCCTGCCCAAGTGGGTGGTCGGGCTCCTACGTGGGGCGACAACAGCCTGTGGACACTCCTTGGGACAGTCCCATATTGCTATTAGTATCCTCTCTCAACAGTGGAATCTAATGGACAAAACAGCAATATGGGACTGTCTATTATTCCCCCCATTAAACCACCAGTACTTGGCTGCGGAAAAAAAAAAAAAAAAAAAGAGTAGAAACGTTTCTAG